AGCCAACACAATTGATTATTTTAACAAGAAACCTTTCTTCTGATGGGATACTGACGTGTCAACTAATCGTATGTGATTATTATCAAGCTTATATGACAAACTTTTTGTTTGAACAAAATTTCAATTAAAAGATATTAAGTTACGTGTCCTACTTTTACCTACAGCGAGGAAAATTTAATTTGATGTTTATAATATGTGAGAGAGCATTATCTATCAGCTTAACTAATTAAAACAGGAAAAGTTCATGCTTTTTAAAACATAAATGTAAATTTGCGTGAATAAACATCACAATAGGACTAGAAATATTTGCAAACATTTCTCTTTAAAGAGGCCTAACATAAGTTTCCAGTAAAAGTATTACATATTAGTACTTTAGCTATAGCTTCATCTTTGGCATTATACAGGATTTATTTTATTTCAAGTTGAAATAACAAAATCGCGAAAATATCAACAAAACATAAGTTTCATGAAGTGTACATTTAAAATAAATTATCTACAACTAAATACGAGTTCATGGTAATTAAACAATGAACACAGAATACTAAAAAGATAGCTCTAAATTAGTTTTGTTGTATATATTTTTTTCTTTTAAAACAAGGGCTGACTGATAAACTAGCGGACAATATAAGATTTTATGGCCCCGAGCAATATAATTTTACAAACAGCAGCCCTGTAATTTTCCAACTGGTACCTATTTTTACCAAACACACTTTTTAATCTTGATATTTTTGGTTCCATCATTCCTAATTAGTTATAAGGTCTTTCTTTGTCTAGAATAAATTCGTTAGCAGACACACTAGAGAATATTGTATAATGGTAATAATATTTCCATTTTTACTTCCCTTACAAAATATTAGGGCTAATTTTTTGTTTACTAAAGCTCAACATAAGTTCACTCTAGAGTTGTAGATAGTGGTAGTAATTTGTACATTGACATAAAAAAGTAGCTTAGTCTGAACCTAAAGCAGTTATGATAGGCCAAAAACTGAAGTTTTTGATAAATTAAATAAAGTAGGCCTAGGTTTAATTTATGTAACGTTAGGTCCAATTCTTTGAAAAAAAATCTGTCTATATATATACCACAAAAACTTACTTAAAATTAAAAAGTTGCTATAACATAACGTATCTCTTAGTTAAACTGATAATTCAGTGTGAAGTAAAAACATAATTTAGAGAACAGTCTTCATTATCATTTAGGCCTAAACCTAACCGTTAATTTATAGACTGTACTGTTATCATGACTATTTTCTTACTTCAGATTTCAGTTTACAGAAATTTGGAAATTCATATACATATATATTATATACATTTAACATATATATATATAATTATTAAACAGTTCTCTGTATAATATCGAATAATGAATTCGACAAAATGTCATAACATTATTTTCATACCTAAATTAATTTAGGTTACTATAAGGTGAAGTAAAACGGATTCAAAATTTCGTAGCTATTGTAAAACGTTTAGGTTCTACGCTCTATTACTGTTACCATTAATAAGTTAAATAATAAGCGTACCGTTAGCGCTTATATCAGTTTAACAACCGTATCGCTGTTGAAAACCATGTTGCAATGTTAGTTGCTATATTTCAGTTTCAGGATAAATCTAACAAAGGGTAACGAACTTTGTTTTACTTCATCATATGGAATATGCCTATATTCATTACAGATATGGTATACAGAATAATATTTTTAGTTTGTTATGCCAATCTTATATATATATCTTTAAAAACGAAAGCCTACTAGGTAGAGTACTAACTTAGAAATTTAGATATTAGTGCCAGGGTAATTTTAGAAAAGTGACCTCTAACTGAGTCTAACTCTAAATTAAGAAGAGTAAACAGTTATCACCTTTACGTTATTTTCAAATACTTGAAACGTTTTTCTAATTTTTCTTAGTAAAATATTTAGATTTTATGCTCACCAGACGGTTTGAAGGTTGAACATCATTTGAAAGTTACTGTAAAACAATAATAACGAGTCCGTTATTCTTGCTATTACAAGATATGTGACTCCCCCAAAAAAATAAACAATTAGTATATGCAATTTTCTTGAAAATTATTCGTAAGGTAATCTATTTAAAGTCATTTTCACTCTTTAATACTAAACCATTACAATATGATAAAGTCCCACCCCCAATTTTCTGCCATTTCATGTTAACTATTTCTAGGTTGAAAATCGATATTTGACTAACAAACACTTTAATATTTGTGATTATTCGAAACTAAATGTTTCGGGGCATTTTAACGGTTAAAGTAAGAAAATGCAGAGTCCATCGCTTTCCAGCTATTTAGTTGTCATTAGATGGCGCTAGTATACATAAAGTATATATTTATATATATATAATGAATGATTTAAGGCTTTCTTTTTGAATTACGTTAAATTATATTTAAATAAACCATAGCAATTAATTTGTTTGTTTTAACGCACCATGTTTTAAAACCAACCGGTGATAGAATTTTATATCTTGAAGAGTTTGTCGTGCATAGTGTTCTCAAGTGATCTAGTATATACTTTGATAAGTGTTTTTCGAACGAACTTAAAATAGAAAATCCTAACGTAAAGGATCTTCGTATTTATCGTTTGGTTTATCATGTGAGCAAAAAACAAATTAAGTAATTTAAAAACTGGTTTGAATGTTTTAAATTTTTGAAATATCTATTAATTATTTAAATGCAATCTGCTTTAGAATAGGTTGTTAGAGCTATTAATTTCGAGTGGCATTTGTATATGTATTTGATGCTTCGTCTATACGGAAATTTAGTATTACTGTGTTGAAATAATTGCAATGAATGGCTATAATTTAGTTATTCGGTATGTAATTCAAAGAGTGTGTTTATAATGCTAAAATGTAAATTAAATATATATATATATATATTTGCGTTAAGGAAACAAATTGTTTTTGTTTTTTAACTACTCAGAATGTAAAATTTTATTGTTCCGGAAAAAAATATTCTTTATAATAAAACACAATAGTTTTTTAATGTTTATTATCATTATTATAAAACAAAAATTGTTTTATATATAAACACAAAAACTACAATGACCATACTAATTAATCATTTACATTTAAGTGACGTAGGTTGAATATTTTAGAACTGCTTCTTATAAACGTAAACTATAAATTTTATGCTTTCCTAGTGTAGATAGAGAACATAGTGTATAGCAAAAGATTAAGTTAAATCTCAGTTGCATCAGCATTTCGCCATCTACTGTTGAGTTAGGTAATGGTTATATGCAATGTGATTATTATCAGCCGTGCCCTTCTAAGCGGAGAACGGAAACAAAGAAACATATATACAAAAAATACAAAATTATAAATAACCTTAATGTTAATCATAAGTCTCAGTGAATGAACAAAGTGCGCTTCATGATCTCCAGTCAAATTGACAACATGTTTAATTTTATAATTTCTTAATGAATACGTTTACTTTAAAAATGTTTACTCAGTTTTTGTGATTATCATTCTTTAATTCTAGTAGATATATTAGAAATTAAATATCAA